GGCACTATAGTCCGTCAAGTATTTCGGTTGGGCCTGTATGCAAATCAAGTACATGGATGTTGCATGGATGGTAGCCGGCCTTGCAGATGTTATCCAATCCAGGCGCCCGGCTCTTGGTTCCCGTATCAAGTTACCAAGATTCGGCAGGCAATTTGCACCCAAGCCTTTCGGATACCTAGTGTATATTGATGTGTCCGTGTCAATTATCTCAAGGTAGCACCATACGACTCTAACCGCATACTGGGTGACTTTGTTAATGCCTACCTGATTATCAGGCCGAATTTGTGATATCCGTATATCACTTCCGAAAGTCGTAAGATGAAAAGTCTTAGGTAGTACGTTAGGTGGAAAAGCACGAGACGAGGTATGCCAAAAATCAAGGTATCCTTTTTCATTGCAGGAATGACTCCGCCATCTTTGAGACACCGAATCCAGTGTAAACAATTGTACCAGGTAGTAAATGATATATAATGTACATTGCTCATCATGCCTCAAACTCCCCGTCTATTTGCTAGTCCTCATCCTCAATTAAACACGTAGCACCTTCGCGGTAAAGTTCTCGATGAGCTTCTCGTCGGGGAAGCTCATCTTCTCGAGACCTTCGGCGTAGGGTGTGGGGACTTCGGCACCGGTAATTCGTTGAGCGGGAGTGTCTAGGTAGTCGAAAGCATATTCCATAGTCGTGGCGAGGATCTCGGCGCCGATACCAGCGAAGGGGAATCCGGATTCAACCGAGATGAGGCGGTGGGTCTTCTTAACAGACTTGATGATTGTCTCTATGTCCAAGGGCTTGACTGATCGCAAGTTGATAACCTCAACGTCCACACCATACTTCTGCTTCAGAGCCTCAGCAGCAACCATGCACTGACCGACGGTACGGGAGAGGGAGACTAAAGTGAGGTCCTTGCCCTGGCGCTCGACCTTGGCCTTGCCGAACGGAAGAACGAAGTCGTCCTTCTGCGCGGCCTCGGACATGGGGAAAGATACACCGTACATAAGCTCGTTCTCGAGGACGACGACGGGGTTAGGATCGCGGATGGCGGCCTTCAACAGACCCTTGGCGTCTTCGGCAGACCAGGGAGAGACGACCTTGAGACCGGGGATAGAACCGTACCAAGCGCTGTAGTCCTGAGAGTGCTGAGCGCCCACACCGGCGGCGAAACCGTTGGGGCCACGGAAGGTGACGTTACAGGGCTGAATACCACCGGACATGTAGAGGGTCTTGGCAGCGCTGTTGACGATCTGGTCGATAGCCTGCATGGCGAAGTTGAAGGTCATGAACTCGCACTAAATTTGATATGTCCGGTTAACCATTTCTTGTCCTTCAGGTTGACTGTTTTGTAATTCTACTTACTACAGGAGCCAAACCACTCAGCGCAGCACCAACGGCTAAACCACAGAAACCACTTTCCGTAATCGGGGTATCAATAACTCTCTTCTCGCCGAATCGATCCAACAGACCCTTCGTAACCTTGTATGCACCGTTGTACTGGGCGACTTCCTCACCGAGAATGAAAACCTTATCGTTTGCTTCAAGCTCCTCGGCCATGGCCTCATTGAGGGCCTCACGGACAGTGTATTCCTTCGTTCCCTTGACATCGGCGAACGTTCTCCGTTGGGATACGGCGAATGAAGCAGGGGCGAAGCGGGTTAGAGCTCGGGGAGCTGCGGCGGTGCGGGCAGAGGCAGCTAATCGAGCTGCCGGACGGAGATAGCGCGACATGATGGCGGTGGATATGGATCGACGGAGGGGGATGGATAGAATAGGGCAGGACGATATCAGTCAATTGAACCGAACTCCCAGCCGACTAGAAGTTGGCGTGGTTTGTCGCTGGTGACGATGGCGGTGGTGATGATTAAGGTGCAGGAGGTCGAAGAGCGATTTTCTCCGTAAGCCGCTTTTTTGGAGTTGCTATCAAATTCGCGTGTCTCCCAACTTTTTTTCTCGGATGGAATAGGAACAGCTTGTTGAGGTCAGAAGCCGCGCTAAGCTATATCAGGATTAGCTCGCTACTTATCGGAGCTTTGATATCTCCAATCCCTTACATACAAATGTTCCTTCCTATCTCGAGTTTATGTTTTACCATCAACGAACGGAAGGAATTGCATTCAAGCCAGTCATATAAATTTTACCATTGGCGGTATACAAATGCCTTTTCGTGTCTATAATATCGAGACTATTTGTTAGTTGAGAGTTGCTCAGAGTGTTGGCCATCTTATCTCTTCAATATTAGTAACGCCGTAACGGAAGTCGATTGGGGATTCCTCCGTTGGGGGTAATCCGTAAATATCCTTGGAGCTATCGGCCATGCTAGTGGTCAATTCAAGCTGATTATTAAGAGCAACCTAATTCGTATTTGATATTATACATTGGTAGTATTTTAAGTATACAGTTTGGTAGGAATGACATTGTTTTGAAATCAGCAACCTACCTAGGTATATAGGCTTCATCAAAATAGAGTGGTATATCCAACAATCAACGTTGGAAACACTCCAGACACTTAACCAAGAATAGTAGGGAACTTTCTAATTACTCTATTCGTCGATGCTAGTATATATATAACAAAAGGCTATCAGCATATAGGTATAGTTCCGTGTCATATATACAAAGAACTCAGAGCCAAGGCGGTCCAGCATATAGCCAGTGAGGACCCTTCAGGTAGCTCAGTATTATTAATATTAAGAAGTTTTTTTTTTTCACGTTGCTTCTTTATTCATTACTGTGCTTATAAGCACATTTGTTCTCCTCGATCCACGGCATCACAGCAACTTGCCGCTAATCATTTCTCCGGCTTCTTTCCAACCATCAGGTACATCGGTGTGAATAGGTGTTTTTCTCCACCGGCAACTAAGCAGTCGGCAGCACGAGCCAGACTGTCAGCCGTCTTCTTGGTACCCTTTGGCGCCAATCCGACCAATTCCAGAGCACCAGCAAAGTTGTGTGCCAGCGTGCGACCCCACCATGTCATTCGTGCGATAGTAGGTGCGTCGAAAACGGACTGCATGTACTTCCATTGACCAGCAAGAGGCCAGTACCATGGGATGGGGTCGGGGCGGTCAGCAAGGTCTTCGTGATGTAGGAGATCGAAGCCTGCGATCTTCATGGCCTCGAGACCTTCCGAGACCTTGACCATGTTGGAGATACCATCACCCTGCTCGATTCCAAGACGGATCTCGCGGTGCTCGAGGTTGTCGTTATCGTACTCGTCCGTCATGAGCCATTCGTACACGCCAAAGATGCCACCGGGCTTCAGTACGCGGAAGATTTCGCTGTAGACGCCTTCGAGCTTGGGCGCGTGGACCGTTGCTTCGATGGCGTAGACCGCGTCGAAGCTGTTGTCAGGGAAGTCCATTTGCTATTAATGACTAAAATTAGTATGCTGACTAGGCCGAATTAGACTACAACAGCTTGCGCTAACGGGACTCACCATGAAATCACCCTTGACAAATGCCAATTGGTGTGATAGACCTTCCTTGGCGGCGTAGTGCGTGGCACGCTCAATTTGGTAGTCGTTGTTGTTCAGGCCGGTGACATGGCAGCCGGTGAACTTGGCGATCTCTCGAGCGGGGCCACCAACACCACAACCGACATCCAGCACCTTCATGCCCTCCTTGATACCAATTTGGTGTGCGAGGTAGTGTTCATGTCGGGAGATCGCCTGGTAGAAGTTTTCGCCAATGGAGTATCGGCAGAAGTGGAAGGACTGGCCCCAGCCGTACTCGTACAAGTCCGTTGCCAAGTTGTAGTAACTATGAAGAGTCTTAGTATTGTGACATGAGTGTAAGGATGTGTTTTTAGAACATACTGTCTGGTCAGGGTAGCATATTCTGCTGTTCGCTTGGCACGGTCTTCCTCTGTCTCGTCCTTGGCGTCCTTGTGATCCCAGTGCTTGAAGTACTCGTCGACGGCAGCCTTTTGTGCGCTAGAGTTCTTTCCGATAATGGCACGGAAACCTCCAGTCGACTGAGCGGTGTTGCCATGCATGGCCTTGTTGAACGCGGCATCACGCGCTCTGTCCTGCTTCTCGAGCTCGATCTTTGAGGGCGACATGTTGAAAGATTTCGACGATAATTAATACAATCGATACTAGGAATTGAGATGATAGATAGACAAACACCGTAGCTCAGCGACTGGAAGAAAAGGACAGAAGATTGGCGCAGGCGATACAAACTCGAGAGAAGCGGTGCAGGAAAGGGGTCTTCGACGACATTTATTTGTTTTTGTATCGTTATCGACAATTGATTGCAAGGACCCTTTTCCAATTTGCTTGGGCAATTTCAATGCAGAATTGGCCTAAGCTCGAAGCAGTCTCGACCAACAAGATTGCGCCTGACAGCCCAGATTGCCCCCGAACCTGCATTAGAGGAAGGCGGAGACAGGGGCGGCCTAAGCCGTTCTATCCTCTGCCCGAAGTATTGAACTTTCCCCTGAATCCGAATACGAATCCGACAAGCCACACCTTCAGACCTTGTAATGTGGCTGTAATAATGTGGCTTTAACGCCGCTCAAGAATTCCGTGTTTTACATGTGAATCAACCATCTCGAAAACTCCAACTTCCGGCTCACGATCCCGAATACGAGTTCGCATTCTTGATATTATCGCAATGTGATATCCTTGGATATGATATTCTTCATCGCATTTTGACGGAGTTTTCCATCGCGATATGAGCAATTCAATATCTCATCCTAGTAATGATGCTACAGGGGAAAGAGGAAGAAGCCGGCTACTTGAATAGTGTCAAGAGGGGCCGTCACGGAGCGAAGTACGGGCTCGTAATCGGTGACATGTCACATATTGCGCTATGATGGAAAGTGGCTAGAAAAGAAGGAAGACACATCGAGTTGTTATCTGCCCCTTGCTAAATATTCGAGGACGAAAGCTAGATCAACTCTTTGCCATGTGATGTCTAAAGTTCACCTGACAAGTTCAAGCAAAAGTTAAAAAGCAGAAAATCTGCAAAAAAGGTGGTATAGGAGGAGGAATCTAACCTCCTACTGATGGACTCGCGGGGAATCGAACCCCGGACCACTCCCATATTAGACGGATTCGAACTAGCCAACCATCGTGATGGACGCCGGCGTACTTCGTCACATGCTAAGGGAGTATTATACCACTAAACCACAAGCCCGTGGTGATCTTAGCTTGAGATCCTGATGAAGTCAAGCTGGATCTGATTCGTTGAAGATCGTGCTCTGGAAACTTGACTTATAGCTCAAGTGCGTAGAATTTGCCCTAATTAGCCGATTGGTGCTTGCTCACCGCTTACTTCTTGAAGCTAAGCGCCACACACGCCGATTCTTTTGCCAAGCCGGAGGCCCACATAAGCTCTCAAACAAGCTTTATCAGGCCTTCGGAATATGCACGCTTATGAGGGAGCAAATTATCTTCATAAGGTCGATCTACGGAACACTTCAGTGCTGATGTGAATCTATGAGAAAAGCTAGTTTGGTAACGAAGCCAGTATCGGAGATAACAGAACTAGAGTGTTGGCATGTCGATTCAAATTTCTTATTGCTATTTTCAAAAGCCGTGCTCAAAATATTGTTTACCATGTCCACCTCCATTTCCGCACTAATTCAACTTTCTGTCCATCAGGCGTCTCATCCGTCTTCCCGACTACGACTGGGCCATCTTCTTGCTTATCCAATTTCTTATTGCTAATGAAATACCAAGCGCTCTGTCCAATAATCTCCACCGTCACTACGGCGGCGAGAACTAGGCAGGCAGTGAAGGCATTTCGGTAAAGAGGCGCATCTTGCGTCCTGAATACTTGACTTCCAGCGATGCCACCCGAATTGGCGCCCATGATGATCATTCTATGTTCCAACATTAGCATTCTGAATGTTCAATAGGCGGGGAACTAGGAAGGGGGAAGGGACTGGGACGTACGCCATGGCGATGCTTCGTTCTTGCGGCCGTTGGCAATTCGCCGACAGCCAGCCGACATTAAGAATGTGAATGGTGGAGTTCATAGCCATTGAGAAGACGACAGCTGCGTACTTCCTCCCTGCGCTCCACTTCCACGCCTCTCTCAAACACGCAAACGCAGTCAAACTCCACAACGCGGCAATCAGCAACGACGGCGCCCTCTTTTTCGTGCTATCGCACATCCAAGCCAGAAGCACCGTCACCACGGCAGCGATAAAGGACCCGACGCTGGCCATTGCATTGGCCCTCACGGTGCCGTAGCCCAGACTCTTGATGACGCTCGGACCGTACGTGTTGATCGCGTTCACGGGAATCGTGCTCGTTGTCGTGATAATGATGTGCATTAGAATCCTAGGATTCCTAACCGTAGTCCAGACATCGCTGCCCGAGATGCGCAAGTGATTCGTGGTCTTGGACGGGTCGTCGAGCAGCACGCGACGGACCAAGATGTATGACTCGCGCCGGTTGAAGTACGACCATCGGCCGAAACTAATGAGCGGGGAGCCGTTTCCGACCTTTGGCGGAAGAAAGAGAATGAAGATGATACCGACTCCGATTGTAATAGCTCCTTCCACTACGAAGGAAGAAATCGCAAGTCAGGTCACATAAGCCAGGTGGAAGGGGACATTGAATAAAGTGAGCTTACCTATGAAGAGCCATCTCCAGCCAGCGATTCCGTACCGGTCTCCCATGCTGAGAATACCGGCGCCGATCAAGGAGGTAGTCGCCGAAGCAATGAGATTTCCGAGGAAGAATATGGAGATTCGTAGGCTGGACTCGGACTTCTTGTACCACGTCGACATCGTATACAGCGAGCCAGGGATGAAGCCTGCCTCACACTGCGCAAGTAACTGTCAGCATCCGACAGAGAAATATACAAGAGCCATGCCTCATCCAACATACTAAACCGAGTAACAGCCGAGTGGCAATATAGCTACCGTAGTTCGTGATGAAGTTCTGGAAAGTGGCCACCAAGCCCCAAGCGACAATCTGAAAAGATAGCCATTTCTGAGGCCCCACACGCTGCAGCAAGATATTGGAAGGGATCTCTAGGAGGACGATGCCCGCCGATAGAAGACTGTTCCCGACGTTGATCTGGTTCGTGTTAATACCGAGATCTTGGGTAATCGTGCTTGTTAGGGCGTTCGAGATGTTTCCTCGATCCATCTGCAATGCGAAAAACGCCAAGCCCAAGATCGGCAGCAAAATGAAATCGAGCCTAGACACGATCAGCACAGTCAGTTCAATTATTCAAAATGTGCAGAAGTGCTTCGCGGGATCAGATCTTACTTCCGCTTCACAGCGCGCTCCTCTGCTTCAGTCCAATCCGCTACAGTAGCCTCATCGACATTGACAGGGGCGGCCTCCTCATCGCTATGCCCAGCCATCACGTTAGTCTCAAATGTCTTTTCGAGCACCATACTGGGGAACAAGAAAACGGCGAAAAGGTCTGCGACGAAGGTTCATCCCAGGAATATGGTACCGTGAACTTCAGCCCTTAAATATCGCGATATTTTAGCTCACAACTCATGTTTACCAGCCAATGAAGTCTGCGTGTCACCGACCGGCCGGTCGCGAGGTCCGGAACCAAAGAGCAGAGCTCATTTTAATGCTGTCTTGTGCTATGGGATCTCCATCTTGATTACGCGGTGCTGCGACTATACCCTGCAAGAGCCGCTGACGTGCTCGGAGATAAAGTTGCGTAATCGTTTCCTTGGCTTCTGGACCCAATGAGCTGGCTCGGAACAAGCACCCGACACGCATAATATCCAAATCAGAGAAGACTGAGATCATAGCTTGAGATAACCCTTATTTCTATGCGAAGTGATTGGTTTTTCCTTACGACAGAGCGCTACTGTTGCGCACTTCTACCCCTAGCTAACTGAGAAGCCGGCCCACTCTTTTACAGCCCATGAGGCTATTGATATATTCAATGGCTAGATATAGTCGTGGAGTAAAAGTCGTACCTATATGAAATGCCAGGACCTGCGGAATCCGAATCTGAATCAATCCTACCCGGAACTACGAGACCGCTCGATGACTGCGCGTATGATACTGTCAGTGGCGGGCCTCTTGGAAGGGGCTGAGTTGAATGGAAAGTCCAACGTACTTGCTTCGGAAACAGTCGCACCAAATATAACTGCGGGTATCGAATCAATTCCAGGATTTACAAGAGTCGACTATATTCAAAAGTAAAGGCGACCGATTGCGAGATTACTAACAATTGGAAGAATGGGGATCCCGACCCAATCTCAATTCTCGATCATACGGTTGTCAGGAACACTGCGCCTAATGTTAGAATACTACGATTGAAGGACACTGGGCTCTGGCTTTTCGTTACGATGCTGTGTTACGTAGCACCTTCTTACAGGCGAGCGACTCTCAATGTTCTGGCTTTCGTTTCTATCTGCTTTTGATATCTCCCGCTGATGCCATCCAACCTCATCCCCAGCCATCACAGGGCCCCGGCGTTCCCAGTACTGATGGCGACCTCAAAAGTAGGAATATATGCGCCAGAAGATATGGACACTGCCGGGAAGCCAAACCATGGGTGCCTTACGGAAGCATCTGTCACAATCCCCCTTTTCTCCCGACTCTGTCAACCACGCCATCTTTTTAGGAATGGTAACGGAAACAGTCCTATCATCCAGGGTTCGCATAACTTCACTGTGAACACATCGTCCTTCGTGTCTCATTTTTGGCACAGATGGACGGCCATAACGGCGCTCAGCGGCCCATGCGGGGGCACTCTTCGCCCACTCAGAGCTCCGAGACTGCGAGCTACAATAGCCACATACCCACTCCGGTCTAGCCGGAGACAGTGCAGCCTGTTCAACTTCAAGCGGTCCGGCCAGGAAGCAGACAGATTCAAGTCATTCAGAAGAGCCTGATAAATTGCGATTCGGGGTCCATTACTTGCTGCATGAAATATATTTAGAGGGCCAAGACACTCAATATATCTGGCTGTTGACATAGCAATTAAAACGATAGGACACATGTCACATGAAACCAGCATGGAATGCCGAAGAGAGCTTGTTTGAGCGGGGATAGGTCGCTATGGCCTGCTCAAGACACCTTCAGCTGTGTGGAGACATGCCTCTGGTCATTCAATTGGGGTGATGAAATGGCACCAAGAGCAGAGGAGTATCAAAGACGCAAAAACTTGCCAGGAAAGCGAAGACCTATAGGAAAAGTGGTTCTATATAGGAATGGGAAGCCAATGAACTGCAGCGGAACTTAGTTGGAGCACTGCAAGCAAGGGGAAAACAGCTAACATACATCCTCTAGGTATATAAGCAAAGCAGCTTAAGTTTTCTTGCTTACCAACAGCCAGCATAGTCCGCTTATTTAACGGGTTCCCTGACTATTGTGGTTTTTTCATTCAATTCCAAATTAACTGTGAGATTCTTCCAAGTTTCCTTTTCAAAGATGGTTTCGGCAGAGTACGACTTTGTCATAGTTGGAGGAGGAACAGCTGGTCTTGCCTTGGCTACTCGATTGTCTGAAGATCCAAGCCAACGGATTCTTGTCTTGGAAGCTGGCGCCGACGTTAGCAATGATCCACGAGTAAAGACTCCAGGGCTATGTCCAGCTCTGATGGGAACGGAAATGGACTGGAGTTTTCATTCTGAGCCTCAAGTGCGCACATCTTCTTCAAAATAAAATGTCTAGAGCTAACCTATATTTGAGCCAAATCTCAATGGAAGGTCGGTCGATTTGCATCAAGGCAAGGCTCTTGGAGGGTCGAGTGCCATCAATTCTGAGGTCTTCGCCCCTCCCACCGATGGGTCGATTAGCTCTTGGGCTGCACTTGGCAACGAGGGGTGGGATTCGAGTACCTTCCGCAAATACTATGCTAAAGTGTTTACACCTCCACTTATTGAAGAATCATCGAGGAAAAAGCTAGGGGTAGACGGATATTCTCCGTACGCTACTCCAAACGGCCCGGTCCAACTGTCTCTAGCCGGCAATCCGGATAATCCTGTTCGGGAAGCCTGGATCGCAACGTTCAAGAACAAAGGTCTCCATGTATCAAAGGATCCACTCCACAGCATTTCTGTTGGAGCATTCAGTTGCATTTCGAGCATTGATCCAGTAAAGAAGGAAAGAAGTTATGCAGCTACGGCATATTATGACCCTGTCAAGGATAGACCCAATCTCAAAGTCCTCACGAATGCAACTGTCGAGAAGATTCTGTTC